GTGATAGTTGTTCATGAGTCCCTTGTTTGTCCTGAACAGTTAAACTACCTGCTGTTCTTCAGAAAAACCCCCAGCTCCCACAAATTCTTTGGTTTTGCAGCACTTTTGTTGTATTTGAACCCTTTCCAACAATGACTGTATGATTTTGAGATGCATCTTTTCACGCTGAAGACGACTGAGGGACTCATACGCAGCTATTACAGAAGCTTCAGACGCTCGCTGATGCTCCAGAAGGAGAAACCATGCATTAAGAGCCGGGGGGTGAAAACTTTTGAACAGAAATATTTTTATTCATTTAGTGCTGCCCTTCAGAGGCTACAGAATATACTTACATGTTTCCCAGAAGACAAAATAAGCTAAATTTACCCTGATCTTTAAATTCAAAAGTTTTCACCCCCCGTCTCTTAATGCATGGCTTCTCCTTCTGGAGCATCAGCGAGCGTCTGAACCTTCTGTAATAGTTGCATATAAGTCACTCAGTTGTCCTCAGTGTGAAAAGATGGATCTCAAAATCATACAGTCATTGTTGGAAAGGGTTCAAATGTTCATCAATAGCGCGGTATTGCGGTTATCGCGACAGCCCTAGAGCAGAGGAGTGAGGATGAGGAGCGGGACTCACGTGAGGGGAGAACAGCATGGTGTTGGAGGCGAAGGGCTCGCGGAAAACCTTGATGATGAGGTTCAGGTCGCGCAGATACTGACGCACCTCCGCCATGAAGGTCTTCACCAGGTCATAGTACATCTGCTCCTTGGCCGCAGACGGCTCCTCGTCCAGAGGAAACACACTGATGTCCTCCTCCACCTGATGGAACATGTCCATCAGCACCTGCAAGCACAGACACAGGGGTGGAGTCAGAGCTGGACGGGGCCTGAGACACAGTCAGGCGGGGCCTGAGACAGGACTGGGTGGGGCCTGAGATAGAGCTGGGCGGGGCCTGAGACAGGACTGGGTGGGGCCTGAGATAGAGCTGGGCGGGGCCTGAGACAGGACTGGGTGGGGCCTGAGATAGAGCTGGGCGGGGCCTGAGACAGGACTGGGTGGGGCCTGAGATAGAGCTGGGCGGGGCCTGAGACAGGACTGGGTGGGGCCTGAGATAGAGCTGGGCGGGGCCTGAGACAGGACTGGGTGGGGCCTGAGATAGAGCTGGGCGGGGCCTGAGACAGGACTGGGTGGGGCCTGAGATAGAGCTGGGCGGGGCCTGAGACAGGACTGGGTGGGGCCTGAGATAGAGCTGGGCGGGGCCTGAGACAGGACTGGGTGGGGCCTGAGATAGAGCTGGGCGGGGCCTGAGACAGGACTGGGTGGGGCCTGAGATAGAGCTGGGCGGGGCCTGAGACAGGACTGGGTGGGGCCTGAGATAGAGCTGGGCGGGGCCTGAGACAGGACTGGGTGGGGCCTGAGATAGAGCTGGGCGGGGCCTGAGACACAGTCGGGCGGGGCCTG